GAAATAGGAAGAAACTATATTATTTAAAGATGACATTATTTGGTTGCGCTTCTTTAGGCACTAACGAAATTTAAAACAGGCTATGGGATACAAAATTGCAACCGAAAATAAATTTGAGTTATTTTTGGCACTATACTATAACTTTCGTTATGTTAGGGGAATATAACTGATTATACATACATACAGACACAAAAAAATATGTATTAACTTTATAATGTTTGTAAGAGTGATTAAAAAATAAAATTCAATTGAACCTCTTCAATACAGGTAGCTACAACCCCGAAAAGGGGTATTACTAAGGAAGAAGACATGTTTAAGACAAAAGAAAACTCAGACTATCTTTTGTCTATGTTTCCTTTTTCCTCCATTTCACATGTTATTAGTATCTAATTTGCTGTCGGGAAAATTCTCCCCATTCACTTTTACTTGTCCTGTATTTTGTCACTATATCCATATTGATTGACTTTTTTTTTCTTTATATACTAAAAGTGAAAATATACTAATAAAGTTGATAAGTAAAGGACAATTTTCACATATAGCAAACAAAAAATTCATATTTGTATGCTATAACAAAGTTTGCATATTTGCGCTCCATAGCAAAGATATAACTATATAATTCGTCATACATATACAATTATATAATTCGCTGACCTTACATATACTATTGTATGATTCGCTGGCCTATTTCGCTGCAATAGTATACAATTACCCCACTGAGTAAAAGTGAACAAACATATAAAGAGAGTTTGCGGAGAGCCAAATTATGGGCCCAACCCTGAGCGGAGGCCCATGATTCATTTATTTTGGGTAAAGAAACGGATTAGTTCCGTCCGCCATGGGCTTGAAGCATGAAAATGGTTTTGGAATTATTTGATGCTTGACGTAGACATTGATTGATGATGATGGTATTTGGATCTTCATGTTAAACAAGAAAATAGGTCGGCTTGAAGCATTTAATGAGATATTGTCATATTCCTTTCGTTCCTATTTATATGTCGTCAGGTGTTGAATTTCCTTTATCAAAAAATTACATTATATATATGTCAAATTCTGCATTCAAAAGATATATATTTGAAAGTTGGATACATTCGCAAAAGTTATGTCTTTGACACAATGATACTGGATATCCATTTGAATGGAGAAGTTTTGGATTTGAACCCCAAATAGCACAATGTTTTTTTTTTTTGTATTACACCATTACTTTTGGACACATAAGTAAATTTTCTGGCTCTATTTTATTGAAAACTTGAGTTCAAGATTACACTAAATAAAGGTATTATGATAAATTTTCCTAATTTCTTAAGAAACGTAAAATCTAAAATGCCGACGATCGACAACTAATGGTAAACTTGATTTTTCTTTCTAACACGTAAAATGTTCATGCCTACGTAAAAATGTTTATTTGAATCAACAATGTCTCTCATATATTAAAAATGATTTAAATTTTCACTATTTTCACCTATTGATTCTAATTATCTTTTAACGGTCGAACTTTTTTTTTCCTTTCTACCTCTTAACCTTTTACATGGATTTTGGATTAAAATTATCTCTCATTCTTTATTAATCCACTTATACTCAACTTTACAAATAACTCTGATCGATTTGAGTTTGTTTATTTGATAATATTGGGAATAAATTTCTAAAACAATTCCCTATATTTGTAAACGACAAAAAAGATGTTAAGTTGAACCTAAATAATCTAGAACCGACTAGATTTTCTTTATACCAATTTTGATCCAAAATTGCATTTCAAGTTTGTGCTTTTGGGAAATAATTATTTTGTAATAAAACTATGGAATATATAATTGGACAATTATGAAGGAAAAATAGTGGTGGAATAGGCATTGATTTATAATTATGTTGTCAAGAATTGAGGTTTCACAAAAACATGGTGGAATGGGCAATAAACTATAAACCATCACCAATGTCTAAAGTTGAACATACAAAGCCAAGAAGATAACGATCCTTATGCTATTGACTTTCACATGGTGGGTCACTCTATCACATTCCATATAACATTATAAACTAAGGTTTCCTTGTTAAGTAAGTGGACGTTCAATTATGTACAATTAAACATCTTAAATATATATATATATATATATATATATATATATATATATATATATATA